ACATGCACGATGCTATCACAGCTAATGTGAGGCTGAGACTGAAGCCTTACCCTTTGTTTCAGCTGAGAGATGAGCCGCGTGACTCATTTCCCCACGCGTACAAGTTACCTTAGGTCGGCGTTCACTGTTTGAGTTCTGAGATTCAGATCGAGCTCTAGGTAATTTGTTTTCAAACTGGTTGGTTCGACATTTAAGAAATTTTAGTTCTAATGAGTTTGAGAACTGAGGTACCACTGTATGTATGTATGTGTGTGTGCGTGTGTGTGTTTATATATATATATATATGTATATATATATATATATGCGTGTAACTAAATGTTACTCATATCCTTAGCCCAACATCCACATATATGTGTTGTTTTAATAAGTTTACAAGTGTTTAAAGCATGTGGGAGGGGTATTCTAACACTTAAACTATAAAATACCTTGGTTCTCGAACTCACTAGAACTCGAATTTCTTGAAAGTCGAACAAACCAGTTTGACCTAGAACTCGATCTGAATATCAGAAGTCGAACTGAGAAGTTGATCTAATATAAATTGAACGCGCCAGGAAATGAGTCACACGGCACGTCTCTGAGCAGAAACAAAAGGTAACGCTTCATTGTCAGCCTCACATTTGCCGTAGTAGCAGAGCTTGTTGGTGATAATGCTATTTCATTGAAAATACTGTATCAGGTAATACACTGTACTTTATATCATTTTGTTAGCCATTGCTCACCAAAAAGTTACGTAATAGTTGTACAAATGTTACAACCTAAAAGTTTGACATTCATGAACAAATTAACGAATACAGAGTAATAATAAAAATAAACAATGGACCGATTCAAAATTTTTATTGTCATGTACAGACTACAATTCAATTCTTACTTGAATGCCTTCTTCACAGATTGGACTAACAAAAAAAAAAAACTAGCTTACGTGTACTATTAGAGCATTTATGTCATTTATTTAAACTGTATTTTACCAGGTAAATTAACTGAAAACCAGTTCTCACTGCTTTACGTGCTTGGGAGAAATAGCACATTACGCATCGGAACTGCCTGGGATACAAACGTCATGCGTGTAACTAAACTCTTCAGCCAATAAGGGCAAAGGTTTGTCGTCACGGAGGCGTTCCAGTTTGTGCAGCCGAGTGAGAAGTCGCAATGCATCTAACCGTAATGCATTGCGTCAGGATCAGAATGCGTTTCTTTAAGCCAGCACTGTAAGCAAGTCGAACGCACCCAATGACAAGTGTCACTGTCACTACCGAAAATGTTGCACCTACCGAAAATGTAACTTCCGCTACTACGCATGTGCACATTCATCACACATGCGTCCACGAAACCACATTTTCTGGCACATCTTTATTACGCATGTGTAATATACACTTCCACAGGCCCAATACTGTGCATGTATTCACATTTTGCGGCAGACCGTGATTGCGTGATTCAGGGCGTGGAGATCATGTATCATCATTCATTGTTCACGTATTGTGAGATGGGTCATTGATGTTTATATTTGTAGTTCAGCTGTCACTTTATTGTGGTATTTAAACCATATTGCTTTGCCGATTGTAATATTTGCATCTGTGTGCACGTTGCTTTTAGTGCCTGACAGTAATCTTGCATAAGGTTTTTCCTAATGGTATTGCTGAATAGATGCATTTTCTTTAGAAAACGTAATAAAATTATATCAATCTTCTGTACCCATATTGCTTATCAAGAGGCTGTGATATATATACAGCATTTTCTTAAAAAAAAAAAAAAAAAAAAAAAACAACACACGTATTTACAAATGTTTATGTTGTGCGGTTTGGTCCAGGATAAAACAATCGGTCGTCTGTCAGAAACAAATATAATTTGCTTCATTTAGCACCACAAGACACAGCTGCCATAACTGACACGAGTGTGTGGTAATTACACTGATACAATTAAGAAAAGAAATGACTAAGGAGAAAAAAGCAGGCTTAGTTTAAGTAACTTCACAGCACATCGAACTGGGAGTAGTACATAATGGTAACATTAAAGTAATGTCACCTTTGACTGTAAAATTGATGGCCATACCCTGTATTTTACGTCGCTCCTTCTGAAGCACATTAGGCATTAAAGGCCTATGCGAAATAAAATCTTTTAAAGTCGAAGGACTCCATCATTATCCAGTTAAATCTTCTCTTTCCTCTCCCTGTCAACATTCTCATCAAAAATCAACGATGCCGTAAAAATAGCACGCCTCCTTCCAGAAGTCGCAAGCGTGCGCATGCGTAGTAGCGGAAGTTACATTTTCGGTAGTGACAACCGGACTGGGGAAACAAACTGAAACGCGGACTATACAGAGGACTAATGACAACAACCAGAAACAGCAGATCACATGGGGATTCCACACGAGGTTAACGAGGGGGCGTGGCACACGGAAGGAGCGGACGATCGGGGCAGGACAGGGGTAATGTTGTGATAAGATCTTTATCGTTTTGGAAGCCATTTAGAAAAAAATGAATGCTCTGCTTGTTTTATCCTGTTCATTTTGTGTTTAAATGCTAAAAAACAAAAAACACATATTTAGGTGTAATTTTGGGGGGCCGGGAACCAATTAATTGGTTTTCCTTTATTTCTTATGGGAAAAATTCAATCAGAACTCGAACTTTTTAGGATTAAGTTGGAGAACCGAGGTACCACTGTATGTATGTAATTCCCAACTTGGAGAAAGTCATTGTGAAATGCTGATTTTGTGGTCAATTAACCACTTTATTGTGGGATTTGACATGTGTCTTGGGTCAGCATCTTTCCATAAGATTGGACTGCTTGATTTACAAAGGTCAACAACCATTTCCCCCTTTCCATTTGCAAGTTACTTAGCGTTCACCATGGTGACAAACAGCATGACACATACCACAGCAGAGCAAGAAGCCATGGAGCCCACACCAATATCCTTAACACTGAGATATTAATATAGGGAAAAAAGTTAATGCACATTAGGTGATTTACTACTATTTGTGAGAGGGAGAGACAAGTGTTGTAGCTGATTTGAAACACCTGTCCCGCATTCCCACAAATACACAAAGAGGAGGTAAGGAGAGCACATTGCCACACCCACCACAACAACTCAGGAATGAGAACCCATGTGCAGCAGGGGATACCTCAGCACCACACTAGTTCATATGGAACAGAAAAGTGTGAAGGTTTTTCCCCAGTAGTAGGTGTCAATCCTGCCACCAACCCCCAAATTTTCCAAGAAGGTGGAGAACCTGCTTTCAGGGTAGATATAGATTCATGTCATACCCAGTACGAAGCAACTGCAGGTTAAAGGCCTTTTTCAAGGGCCCAGTGGAGTAGAATCACTCCTAACATTCACAGGATACGAATCGGCAACCTTCCAATTGCCGGCACAGATCCCTAGCTTCAGAACCACTCTGACCTGACACAAGACCAAAAATCTGTTTCAAAATTTTAAGAATAAAACACAGCATGCAGCACAGTGGTTTGCATCTGTTGCCTATTTCCCTCACACAGCAACTTCATGTAAAACCCAAAAAGGCTATTTAAAAATAATAATAAAAAAAGGTTTTCAGCACGTTGCTCAGTGAATTTAAAGTTGAAAGCTCTACGTGTCTGAACTTTGCTTAACTCCTCCCACATTACTGTAGGGTTTCCTTCTGATTCTCTGGTTTCAGTGCAAAAATGTGCTATGATGAATTACAGTAGCCGAATGGTGTGTGTGTGTCCTAAGATGGGCTGGTGCCCCACCCTGGGTTATTCCCTAGCTGTTTATTTCATAGTCTTTATCAAATGTGGAAATGATGAGTTGACTATGTGATGTCAATTTGAAGCAATAGGTAAAAACTAGTGCTGTCAAACGATAAAATTTTTTAATCAGATTAATCACAGGGTTGCTGTGGATTAATTTCGATTAACCCCGATTAAATATAATTCATTTTTAATCTATATTAATCACATTTAATTTTGCATGAGCAAACAGACTCAAGAAAAAAGGGAATATATATGCACTTAACATGTTTATTGAACATCTTGAACATGAGTCGGATACATTCCATCTGCCACAGAAGTGCAATACCATGGACCCATATCAAAAAGCAAGATTTTTTGCTTAGCCGGACAACTTGTCGGATTTAAGGTACCTCAGTTTAAATGGTCTTTATCTTTGTTCGCTTACAATTAGCACAAACTACCGTAAATCCGACAAATAATCCAACTAACCATGAAGTCCAATTCTAGCCCGGGTAATTGCCATTGTTAGCAATATCAGTTGATAACACATTACGCATGCTGCTTTACATATAAAACTCCGTAGCAACACATCCACAGATAAGTTGGACGGCATAGTGTGTGCGATTGATTTAATGAGCCACAAATGAGAAGTAGTGCTTAAACAGTATAAAACTACAACTTTCCCTTCTGTTGATAAAGGGTGCAGCCATCTTGGATTCTGTGCTGCTCCGAGATATTTCTCGGATCTCCGAGAAACGGGAGCGCATGTCGTCACTTCCGGCTTCAAAACTCCGGAATCCTACTCGGAATACGAGATCTGAGGGCAAATGGAACGCACTAAAACTGCCCGAAATGGGTTGACAGAGGCATTTCAGGGATTTTGAATCATTCTGCGCTGCAGATGGGTTAATTGTGTTCAAAATTTTAATCAGATTAATCATGATGATGGATTAATCTGCGTTAACCTGTTAATTTTGACAGCCCTAGTAAAAACGCATGTTAAAATAACTGATCAATATATGACAGAACTCCACATCATACCAGCCAAGCAACCGTTCTGAATTTTCTCATATTCTTCAAGAGTTTCAACACCCAAAGATGCAGGAGCCCATCTAATCCAATTCAAGTACTCAGTGACGGGTACAAAGCACCTACAGTTGATATCAAAAGCCTTCATGTGATAAGGGACATCAGATACAGTTCTGTACTCCAAAGTGTCACACACAGCCAAACGAGTGACGACTATCCAACATTTCTCATCTCTCTGAATGCTTGTGGTATTATCTTTCTTGTAGCAGAAGGACACGATCAGCTTGTCAGAGGGCAGCACCGTGGACCTGAGGAAGCCCGGAGAGGAAGCTGACGAATTGTCTGAGGCAGATGAAGAGGCCACAGATCCTGAAGACTGCTTCCCTGAGGGTAAGTACACCCATTGGGAGAAGACATCACAAGAGATGCAGAAGATCGAGGCCAAAGGAGTTGACTTCTAGTGGATACTGCAATTATTGATCATGAAAGTGAGGTCACCAGTAACTATTCCTGTTTCAGACTTAGGACTTACATCACTAGGCATTAAGAAGAGCTGTGAATATCTAAACCAGTTTGCTAGTTTTGCACAAACACTTTATACCCCCCGCACCCACCCACCCTATTTAAATTTCTGCATGAGATTATTATCTGAGTAAGCTGCAATCAAATGGAACAAAGTAAATTTGTAAATTATACCCTCAACCTTTTCTGCCAGCTTTGCAACATAAAAACACTTGCACTTATGTCTGCACTTATGAGTGCAGAATTTACAGGATTAATTTCTCATTAAAAATGATACGAAAAATCTGGCAAACAGCCAAATACGGAGCTTCTATGACACACTGGGAATCCTTGTGTTATAGCCTACAAGCACACCGTCATGGCATCTCACTCCTGCTTAGCATCCTCAGGCCATTCTCCAGAGGATTCTCAGGGTTAGAGGCAGAGTATCTGAAGTTGACTGCTGAACAAACTATTGTGCCGGACTTAAAGCAGACAGCACACCTATCCTCCTGTGAGGCGGGAGTCAAATTGCAGCTGAGGATGCAGTGCTCACCAGGCACTCAATTATTTTGATAAATACCAGCTAACTTTTCCTCATCATTTACGGTTTTATTAGATTAGTAAGAGCACACATCAGCCAAAAAGGGCAGCGCTAGAAATTCCTGGAAAGAAAGTTACGCTAAGGTGCTTCTCAGGAAATCAATTTCTGTGGAAGTGGGCAGTCGCACTTCAGGCCAAAAATGCACCTCCCTTAATTAGTCTGATTGCTGTCCGTTAGATGTGTTTAAGAAACATAAAATCACCACAGAGTTCTGAGCCCAAAGGGAAAACTGTAATTAATCAATCAAATAGCTGTCAATGGTGAGGTCACTTTCAGCAAAATGGTTATTTAGAGTCTTAAAAAAAATCATAAACAAACAGACAGGCATAGGTATAGACAGATAAGCAGAATATAAAAGCATGTATTACCCAGGACTACTTTGACAAACAGCTAGTCTGGCAACAGGGGGAGGGGAGGTGTGGGAGATGCATTAATCTACTACCAGGGAATCAGGAAGCTCTCTGCACATACCAGCAAGATCAATATTTATTCTTAAATTATGGTAAGTAGCCAGTTTGGAGGAGGGCTCTCTTTGAGGGGAAAGTGCCTCCATTACTTGTGCTTGAAGCAGACTCCCACTGGCTTAGGCAATCTCCCAGGGACTCTTGGCACAGGGCTTATTCTGTCGTGCAGCCTCCTGGCTCTGGTGCTTCAGATGATTAGGACCTGCATACAGTGTACTGTACATACACACAGTGGTGGGCAAGGGTTCTGCTAACTGCTAATTAGCGAAGGTAACTTTTTCGTTACCAGAACAGCATTTCAGCTAACTCTGAAAACCATTACCAGAACAATTACCTTCCGCTAAACTTAATTATGCTAACTGTAAATCTGCGAACATTTTTTTTCCGCAGGTAACGTTAATAAAGCTTAATGGTCAAAACAGTTTGTAAACCCTAAAATCATATATATTTGTTCCTGTCTTTTGTGAGCGTATCTGCATTAGTCTATCTGGCATGTTGTTGACTGACTACATGTAAACACAAGACATGACTGGATTTAAGGTAGTGTGGGCTAAATGAAAGTGAACAATGATAAAGTCCATTTAAACTGGGGTACCCTGAACTAAGCAGAGAACAGGGTCCTGTATCATGAAGCAGGATTTCTTGCTTAGCTTACAATCCAACAATACCCAATTGGGTAAGTCTCTAGGTCAACAGATGGGAGTGTTAAACAGGTTAAATCTTAACCCTCTAGGTATGTTTCTAAAGATTTCAGAGCCAAAAAACCAAACCGAAGCTAAATTCATATAATAAAAGTTAGAGTTTAGCGGTTATCATTATATTTTGACTATTTATACTGGTTTACTGGTTTACCTGTGAGCCTAGGATCTAGCAAGTGCTTGAGTTTTATTGAACCTTTTACTATATTCATTCATTTACAGTATATTTTTGGATTGAAATGGCAGTATCAATGGTAATGTCAATAATTATTTTGTATTCATGACTGCTGTCATTTCCCTGCATAGAAAAGAAGTATTGCATATGCAAATATACCTCCATGGTTAAATAATACTGTATAGGAAGTGCAAGAATTACAGTGTCATTGACTGTCCTATAATGGTACTTCACAGCACTGCGTGGTCTGGCACCAGGTTGATAAATGTCTGACTACCAAGAAAGCGTCCAAGCCTCTCTACAAATCTTGTTGCACGTCTCAAAGTACCCTAATCACGTGTCGCAGACAATAAGCTAATTTAGAAGAACATAAGTGCCAGTAATGGAGACAGTGAGATGAACATCAAAGGTTCTAATGTGATTTCAGGGAAGAGCTGCAATGTAGAGGGGAAAGCTTTTAAAAGCATGGTAAGCCGATACCTGGAATGGGGGGGGGGGGAGCTCTACAAGATTACGAAAGACAGGGGTCACTCGATCAGGAAAAGGGGGGTAACATTAAACATGGTGATTTCAGACCATGTGACACTGTCAGGATGCACTCCAGCTGGTCTAAGTGTAGAATAACCTGCATGGGGTTAGCAGTTACATGAAAGACATCAGGACTGACACAGCATGATAAAAAAAGTTAATTAGGCATTAATGCTTTAAATTCCCTTTTTTCCTGTGACTCTGTGGTTTATGTTACAACAGAGCATACAATCCATCACACAATAACTGACAGCCTGGTAGAAAACCACATGAGCGATATCGATATTTTTGCTCAATCCTTAAAAACCTCCGGCTGAGAGTTTGTGACTTTCTCAGACATTAAGGTTAAAGATGCCAGCCAAACTGACCATGGCTCATCATATCGCCCTTGACAGCATGTGCACAGCACTTCCCCTGCTATGATGTCGACACCACACGTGGGGTATGCCAAGTCTGGTGGCGTCTCCGGAAGACCTGCTACCAGATAGTGGAGCACAACTGGTTTGAGACCTTCATCATCTTTATGATCCTTCTCAGCAGCGGAGCCCTGGTAAGCACGGCCTGTGAGCTGCTCGGCTACAGCCCACGCAGCCAACCCTGGACCATGTCATTGCTCTCTAATCCTTCTCAAAAACAAACCTCTCTTTATCGAGCTCTGCGTGTAATTAATATGCTCTGCGTGCAGTCAATCGCATGAAGCCTACTTTGGAATACTGTTGTCTTTTAGCAACTAATGCTAATATTAAGATATGAATTAATAATTCATAAAACTGCTTTGTGGAGCATGACAAGAAAATTACGGCAATTAACTTCACTGCCTAGACATTTTCAGGTATAAGCTGTGACAGTTTGTAGATGACATAACATCTACTCTGTGCCATAGCTAAAGATGCAACCACACAAACAATATCCATTCACTGAAACAGGGGAACTGGCCACCACAATACAACTTCTAGGTTGCTTGCATAGTTCAATGTTTGAATGGTTTCATAAAAAGCCCTGGGTTTTACAATACCCTTATAGACCACTTTGCCCGCAAGAAATGGTACAGAGGACTGACAGTAATTATTGTTTTAACAGGCATTTGAGGACATTTACATAGACCAAAGGAAAGTGGTGAAGGTGGTTTTGGAGTTCGCAGACAAGGTGTTCACCTACGTGTTTGTTCTGGAGATGTTCCTCAAGTGGATAGCTTATGGCTTTAAGAAGTACTTCACCAATTACTGGTGCTGGCTCGATTTTCTGATTGTCGACGTAAGTAAACATTCTCACTGTCTCTGTGTTATAGTACATCGCTTTTATATAGTTGGATCAAATGATTTAAGAGTGTTGTTCTTCGGGGGTGTCAAATAAAGCAAAAACTATTAACTACTTTCAGGGAGCATTCAGAACAAAAAAACATCACTGTTCTGAGGTGCTAGACAAGCTTTTTTTATGGCCTAATTAGCTGTGCATATAACAATGGAGGGATTCTTAACTGCTTTCAACAGCAGAAAATCTCAACAAAGAAACTACAACGCCTGACTATTCTGCAGAAAAGTGATCCAAATGAAGTTTCTGCTAAAGATTAAAAGCCAATTTTCCTGTTTATGAAATGCAGAAAGAGTATTGTATCAAAGACCATGGCTCTAAAGCTGATTAGATCCAGGGATCCAAACGCTGGGATATTACCATATGCATTACACTGTAATACATCATTTTTTAATACAATTTATGTCCATTATTAGGCTACACTCATTTGCCAAAATGGTAATTGGTGTATCTGTACATTGTATTATCATTTTTTACATTTCAAAATCACAAACACGTAGCTTTTAATAATCAAAACAAGCAATTCACAGAATACCTTTTCGTCATGGTTATGTACAAATTGTACATCAATAATAAACATGAAATAGCCGTTGATGTAGGCCGTTCATTCTGAAGTTAAACAGTATTTCACACGAAAAAATATTACTCATTGTAATCCTTTAGCAAAAAGTAAAAAAAGAAAAAAAACAGGAAGATACCGGGTCGGTATGGAACAGTCATTAAACTAATGTTACAATTGTATAAAGCAAGTTTGTTACCTGGTGAAATGCTGACGTTGTTCCACCCTATTTGGTTTAGCTTCTCTCGAATTTACTTGCCGCACTAGTACTTCACCCTACGTATCAGGGTAAAGTGTCTCTTTCCTCGCATTTATGTTTCCCTTTTTTCAGTTCTGGTACCAAAATTGAGGTACTGGGTATACATTTCGTTTTAAAATCCGTCACTAAAATGCCCGAAAACGATTTTTCCGCCTTCTGCCACCAACCTGTGCGCGCGCCCGGTGCATTTCGCGGCATTTCACGTATCTATAGAATCTAAAGATAAAACAAAAAACAATTAAACAAGGTTATATGCTTACTTTCACCATACCCTGTATACAAGACCGTCCCACAACAATTGAGATTAAAAAAATCAACAAGTTAACAATGTGGATGACGGATTATACCGATACACATATGACGACGTTTACCTACTTAACTGTGTTAACCTATGTTCTGGTTAATTGCCTACAATTATTAAAATACAAGAACCAAATGCTCTCAACCCTTAAGTAACGCAAAGCCCCCCATTTTGATGTTCAGTCACAGTATGAGTGTAAAACTGTGAGGCACTTTCTAACCAGTTTATTAGGTATACCTAGATGTTGCTGGATAATATAGTCATTGGGGGACTCATGGACCTACTGTTGGGGCGGCGTCAGCAAAATCTACGGGGGAGAACCCCAATCCCCCAGCTATGCGAATTCTATCAATGTGCAGTCCATCGTAAATGGAAACCACCCAAAAAATTTAGTCAATAATTTAGTATTTTAGCTGCCACAATTACTTGCTGTACCATACTTAAAAGTAGGGATCTGTTTCTCTATACCTGGTGTAAACACAGTTTGAAAGCAATGCTCCAGAGCTACACTGTCATGTGTTCTTTGGAAACAAGTTATGCACGTCTCAAATGTAGTGTGTTTAGCCTGCCCCATAGGAATCATCCTAACTGTACTGTACACACCTAGCTAGCACTGGGTAGGCTGCACTTTATTACGTTTGTATGGCTAGTACTGGGAAGGATATTTTTAATAAAAATCTACACTATATGGACATTTGTATTGGGATACCTGGCCATTACACCTTCAGGAACTTTTATGACATTCCATTCTAAATCCATTGGCATCAATAAGGAATTGGTCCTCCCTTTGCAGCTACCACTCTTCTGGGAAGGCTTTCCACATGATTTTGGAGTATGTCTGTAGGAATTTTTGCCCATTCATCCAAAAGAGCATTTGTAAGGTCAGTCACTGATGTTAGACGTGAAGGTCTGGCTTACAATCTCCGTTCAAGGTCATTTCAAAGGTGCTCGATGGGGTTGAGGTCAGGGCACTGTGTGCAGCAATCTCAATCTCACCCAACCATTGTCTTTACGGACCTTGCTTTATGCCCTGGGGCACAGTCATGCTGGAACAGAAAAGGGCCTTCCCTAAAATGTTTCCACAAAATTGGAAGCATAAAATTGTTCAAAATGTCTTGTTATGCTGAAGCATTAAGTTCCCTTCACAGTAACTATGGGGCCTTGCCCAATTCCTGAAAAACACCCCCATACCATTATCCCTCCTCCAGCAAACTTTACAGTTAGCAAAATGCAGTCCGGCAGGTAACACTCCCCTGGCATCTGCCAGACTCAGACTGCCAGACAGAGAAGCATAATTTGTCACTCCACAGAACATGTTTCCACTGCTCCAGAGTCCAGTGGTGGCGTGCTTTACACCACTCCATCCGACACTTGCATTGCATTTGGTGATGTGAGGCTTACATACAGCTGCTCGGCCATGGAAGCCCATTCCATGAAGTTCCCGGCACAGCTTTTGTACTGGGATTAATGCCAGAGGAGGTTTGAATCTCTGCAGCTATTGAGTTAACAGAGTGTTGGCAACTTTTATGCACCATGTGCCTCAGGACTTGGTATAACTTTACATGGTCTGCCACTTCATGTCTGAGTTTCTGTTATCCCTAAATGCTTCCACCTTGCAATAATACCCGGCTGAATATCTAGCACGGCAGAAATTTCACAAACGTATTATTGCAAAGCTGACAGTAAATTTTACAAAATTTTTGTAAACCTGCCTGCTTGGCTAGGTGCTTGATTTTATACACCTGTGGCAAAGGGTCTGAATGAAACACCAGAATTCAATGATTAAGAGGTGTGTCCCAATTCTTTTGACCATATAGCAGTGCTACTACTTTTGTCTATGTAGCTATTACTGGGCAGGATGTACTTTATTACCTATAGCCAACTAGTATCAGGTAGGACCCACCAGTGCATTGAGAGAAACCCTAACAGGCTACTGGTTTATGCTGGCTTCAACAATTACAAACCAAAAGTAAGACCTTCAGGAGCAGCACACTGACATAGCTGAAGCTTGCCTGAAGTTGTTTCTGTGCAAACCCTCACTTGCTTCCTCTCATCCCACCCTGTGATTCGTGTACAGATCTCCACAGACACCTCTTATGATAGGGTAAGTCGTAGCTCAGTTCACACAGGTGAGTAGCACACTTGTATCATTGACCAGAGGTCAACAACATCAGCACCAAAACCTGTCATGTTCCTCTTATGTGTACGTGCTCAACAGTGATACTAAAAGCCACTGTGTCCTTTTATATATTTTTTCCACTTTTGACAAAAATGAAAAATTGCTAACTTGAATTTGAATCAGCATAAAATATATTTTTTTAAAAGACGCCAGGACCTTGGCTTTTATATCAAATAAAACATTTAATCATTTAATCTGTTAATTATCTATAGAAGATATTTTATTGCACTTAAATGATAACTCAGTGAACTGTAGCAATGTAAAATAACATTGCTGGAAAATTCAAGCAAAAAAGGGGAAAAACTCAACTTTATGCTAAACCTATAGTCCTAACACTAAGAGCATTGTTATGCCTGACAAGCAGTTGGTGTAAAACAAAAACTATTATCCCTCAAACTGCAATTTAGCCAGAAAAGTGTGTATTTCATGACAAATGTTGTTTAAAGTCATTGTAGTTGATTATTAACAACATTTGTTGAATTCAGTTGTTTGGAGGCTTTTTTTATTTCGACATATAATCTTCTCTAGATACACTGGAATTAAAATCCATTTGCATTCTCTAAAGAACTGAACAATAAAAGTTACACTTTTAGGCAGTCTTGCCAAGTCTCAGCTCTCTCGCTCTATTAGGATATCAGAGTACACGGAGAGCTTGTTTGTTCTCAATAAGCAAAATTGTAACCCTGGTTATCTTGAATGTAACAAAATATATCTTTAGTGTAACTTTGTAGATTTAAAGAAACATAGGTGGGTGACTTTTTTATAATAGAAGAACGTACAAATATGAAGCATACATGTAAAATACATGTATGCTTTTTACATTGCCACATACATCTCTGATACAATCGTTTGTTCATTCATTCATTCATTCATTCATTCATTCAATAATGTTTTCATGACCTTCACTACAACAGTACTGAAAAATATAGTTTTTGATTGTAAATTTATTACATTTAACCAAATACTGATTATTTGAGTTTTTCTGCCTACTAACTATCCCCTTTAATAGATTCCAGAAATTGATATCTGTTGCCCACGGTCACAATATTTTTGCTATTATGTCTTGGTATAGTTTTCTTTGTGACTTTAAATGCTTGCAAAAGTATAAGTTATTTTAGAAAGTTCTAATAAGACATAAAACACATAATAATTCATGACTATGAATGAGCAATATGTACATCCAGATTTTTCCAGAAATAATATGTTTTGAGTTATTGTATGATTATGAATAATTTAGCTTGGAAGTATCTGACTCACCATTTTATCGTACTTCTCATGGTCACAGATGATTACAAGTGTTTTGACATTTCAGCAGTACATTCCATGAAGAATAAGAACACTTGAAATTGCTTATTTAAAGGTTTCATTAACACAGCATAACTGATCAAGCAGTTCTCCTTCAAGCATATCTTAATATCAGAAACGTTCCTGATTCTGCTTGGGCATGTCCTTTGTTTGCTCTTTTTCAGGTACTCTATGACATCACAATGCCTTAATTGAAATCACCAGAACATCTTATGATGTCAGCATTTTCATCCATCCATTCATTTTCCATAGCTGCTTTTTCAAAGCAAGGACACCAATGCCAGGAAGCACAGGGCACAAGGCAGGAGACACCCTGGGCAGGATGCCAGTCCATCACAGGAGGACAAGGCGGGGAGGGGGGGGGGCACCAAGGACAGAATGCCAGTCTATCACAGGACACCAGGCAGGGGACACTGAGGACAGAATGCCAATCCATCACAGGGCACCAGGCAAGAGACACCCTGGACAGGATGCCAGTCTATCATAGGCCACACACACACACCTGAAGGTCACCAATCCACTTAAACTGCATGTCTTTGTAAGGTAGGAGAAAAACAGAGTACATGGCGTACATGAAGATGGAGAACTCACAGGGGTCTGGGACCCTGGAGGTATTCGGCCTCACTGCTCACAGTGCAGTTTGCTAATAATAATAATACAAATACAAGTGTAAAGTACATGACCTTTTACAGTAGCAACTCGCTATGCACTTTGACTTCAACACATTTTTTTTTTCTACTCTACTGTGTTTGTATGAACGGCAAGCATCCTCTGAAGCTCATCAGCAGCGTTTGGGCTTTTCCTCAAAAAGCACCAGCCAACGATATCAAAGGATAGGATTTCCTTGTCTTCGTATTTGTATCGTAAAGGATACCATCTGTTTGAAGATATACTGCCATAACTCATTAACTGTTGGGACATTAAGTCTGGAACACTAGAGTTATGTAGAGAATTTTAAATTTAATTTGCTGTGTGTAGTGTGTGTTCATTGAAGGTCATCTTTATCTGGGCCTGGCCATATCTAACATTAAGTACAAAGAAAATAGCTGAAATTCTGCAATATGTCAGTTAGACTCTCTCATATTAACAGTACTTTTAACCAGATTATTTTTGTACCAAGTGAACTAAACTTACAATAAGCATGTTTTGATGAAGAAGGCTCTATATAGTATGCACAATTGATACAATCTTTCAGCTATCTGGAAATATATATTTCCCTTCTGCTTTATTGAGGCAGTATTATGAGCACTGATTAGGCTACAAGCACCAATATTATACATTTTCCCTTGCTGATACTAAGCTAACAAGGTCAGATAAGCATTTGAGGGTCATTAAAAAGCCAACCTACTTGCAAAAGTACACAGTGAACACAGTGAAAAAGCACATTTTCAGTCCCTGATAGATACTGTGGCCGCGTGCCAGCTCCACAGTAATAAAGCTCACATTAAGTAGGCTCACTCGCAAGAAGCAATTGATGATAAATATCTGTTATGTTAAGTTATGTTATGCAACAAATTAATTGACTATTCAAAATTGCTTCACTTCAATTTAGCATCTTTTTTTCCATTACATCCATTCCTGAGAAGATATTGGGTTACAAAGTGCCTTTTACTGTTCGATTTGTCAGGAGGAAGTCTATTAATGGGTCATAATTTAAGATTCATTCTCATAACTAGAAGCACACAATGCAAACAAATAACTAAATAATAATGTATGTGAACAATATATTTGTAGTTCATTAGAAAGTATGGTACACCATCCTGAATTTTTGTCAGTTATGAATGTGCTTGTTTGGAACATACATCAGCCAGTGTTTTCCTGTTTTGTTTATATAAGTTTTTTTGTATGACTTTGTATATATGTATATGCGAAACAAATGGTTTGCTATGTTTCTTTACCGTGCCTTAAATTCTTAATTTTAAACAAAATGACACAGTGCACCAGATTTATGGATGGTTTTAGCTGTTATCTTTGCAAATGAAAAATGAGAAAAAGAAATTTATATTATAGACAAAAGTGTGATACTGATACAGGCTTAGTTTATATTAGTAAGGAATCATGTTTAAACACACAAAGGGTGGAAAAAAGAGTTATCAGGCATCTAAGTGGTTAATCCTCTACACCAGTGTTTCCCAACCCAGTCGTCGGGGGAACCCCGGACTGTCCAGGTTTTTGCTCCCTCCCAGCTCCCAACCAATCAGGAACACCGAATACCTGGTACAGGTGTGCTGCAAGCTGAGAGGAAGCAAAAACGTGGACTGTCCAGGGTTCCCCGAGAACTGGGTTGGGAAACACTGCTCTATACCAGCAATTAATATGACAGCTTACCTGCAAGTTAAATTGTGTTACCACCAGCACAATGACAATAAAGACATTCTTTTTTGCTATGAAATGTATGGCAGTTAGAAGTTTACCAACGTGAGTCACTCAGACTAAAGGATTCTAGCGTAATATTTCCAAATGCATGAAATGGGTACAGAGATGACTTTACAGTACATAATAATTACATAATAATACTGGCAGACCATTACTACAGAAAATATAGACTACAGGGTTTTTAAATAAATAAATACCACACAAGCAAATGATAGTTAGGCGGATCAGGTTTGCAGCATTTCATTTATAGCTCATGAGAGATTTTGGTGATGCATACTCTGTGCAAGAGTACTACTCCAATATGGCTCCACAGTCACACACATTAGTATTTATTTGGTTCTTTTGTATTTTTCCTCCCTAACCAGTTCTGGTTCCTTCTTCTGCAGGTACAAGTAGGACCTCACTAAGTCTATACACCAATGCACTGATCCAAGGCTACCTTAACAGTGATTCTCTAGTCACAATAGATGATAATATCATGAAATACTCCCCTGTGCACTTTTATCCTTGTTTGACCTTAAATATACACTTTACTGTAGAGACTCTCCCCTAGCAGGAAGCAGGAAGACAGTGGGATGACATTTTTTTTAAATACATTTGTTTTTGGTGTTCCATAATGAGAATGTGTTGTCTGCATCTTGTCTTGTCAATGCCTTTGGACGACCTAACCGGCTCTGCATCTCTGTCTCTGTACAGGTATCCTTGGTAAGCCTCGTAGCAAATTCACTTGGATACTCTGACTTGGCTGCCATCAAATCCCTCAGGACCCTCCGGGCTCTCAGACCATTAAGAGCGCTATCTAGATTTGAAGGCATGCGGGTACGAGTTTGTTTATCAAGCACTCAGGAAATAAATGGGTCTTAAGTTGATCTAGTGAATATTTCATTAGATTTGCATATATCCGTATCATTTGGATGCTCATAACACTAATGCTGAGGGAGTTGTCTCTCAATGTTCATTTCTCATTTAACAGGTGGTTGTAAATGCCTTGATTGGCGCCATACCCTCCATCATGAACGTCCTACTGGTGTGTCTGATATTCTGGCTGATCTTCAGCATTATGGGAGTGAACCTCTTTGCGGGCAAGTTCGGGAAGTGCGTGAACCGAACGGGATTTATATACAATGCCTCCATCGTCAATAACAAATCCGACTGCCTAGCAATGAACGACACGCAGTTCTACTGGACCAAGGTGAAAGTCAACTTTGACAACGTGGGAGCTGGCTATCTCTCGCTTCTGCAAGTCGTGAGTTCCAGTTCGTTCTTTTTTTAAAACTACTTCCAGCTTACACTAATATAAAACACTGGTCACAGAATGCTTTCAGACCATTTTTCTTCTTTAGTTCCCTTGGATGTAGCTTTCCATAGTACTCTTTCTTCAGCTTAACTTATTTTGTGTAGTAGCCTAGCAACAAGTCACTTAGCTCTGTTCCGTCACTTTCTTCTGACTTCACTCAGTACAAACCTTTCATTTGCATCCAGAAATAGTCTGTCCCCAGTCATTCACAAAAGCCTGTAATTACCGGTAACCAAGGCAAAAGGCCAACCGCGGTGATTTCTGCTCATAGGCAAGCTCTCGACTTGAAGTAAATCACCACTTTTCTTTACTTTTTACCTATAAAAATATACAGCTAGGAGGAAGTCCATTTATGTCATTTCCAGAGTAAAGATAAAAGAATATGTTGATTTCACTTGGTGATGTATTTCAACTGTTGTTACTGTATACTGGCAGGGATTTCCCCCAGTTCTACGAAAAGCAGCATAAATTTAATTTGAGAGGAACACTTCCAAGCTGCTTGGTTTAACTTTGTTTAATCTATGCCAACATAAACCTATTCATCTTACATCCACTCATGCAGTACAGGGTCATAGGACAACCTATAAATGTTCTTATACAGAAACATACCTTCCTCAGCAGTAATTGGGGGGAAGGTACGGGTTGAACACAAAAGAACTGGAAAACAAAAGACAAGTCCTAATAGTACACACCGTGTATTTATTATATTTTTCAGGCAACTTTTAAAGGCTGGATGGAAATTATGTATGCAGCAGTGGACTCACGTGCTGTAAGTTTGAAGAATTCCATAAGAAATATGATTACTGGTTAAGCACCTGAATTCTCATTTCAAAATTCAAACGTTTAAGTATTACATGGAACAGAAATATTGCATAATGATCTTAATATACAGAAACATATACAGAAAATGTATTTATTTGTTTGTTGTGCATATATAAAAAGATTCTATGCAAATGCTTGGTATTATTACAGAATTTAACAGTTCTGACACATGTAAAATATTTTAAATGCAGAATCCAATCTATCTAAGAAGCATGCCCCTTTTGCCCTAATGCCCTAATAAATGAAAGTTCCCCCCATTTTGAAGTTCTGGGTGCCCCTCTTTGATAATTGACAAAACACAAAAAATTATCTGAAGGGGACCCTCTTGGGCAGCACCCCTATTACGACCCCCCACCCCCCCGATATGAGCACCTGACCCTCGAAAACTCTGTAATATTCTTGTGATGCAATAGGTAGAGGAACAACCCATCAAGGAAGTCAACCTGTACATGTACCTGTACTTTGTAATCTTCATCATCTTTGGATCGTTCTTCACCTTGAATCTCTTCATTGGTGTCATCATTGACAACTTCAATCAACAAAAAAGAAAGATAAGTATATAAAGCATTCTGACCACTTTCACCAACAGCGGAAGTCTCCCTTAGACTCCATGATAAATCACATTAAGAGTAAATGTCGTGTTTTGTTTCAAATACCATTGTAAAAATTAACAGAAAGATTTATATTATTTCAATTTACCTTTTTACTTAGGTGGACAGGATATTTTCATGACAGAGGAACAGAAGAAATACTACAATGCTATGAAGAAGCTGGGATCTAAGAAACCACAAAAGCCAATTCCAAGACCTACGGTTGGTAAACTGAAGGGTCTACAAATAAAAAGGATCAATGCAACAAATGATGATGGATGACACTTTATAAAAATTAACATTATTTTTACAGAACATAATTTGTAGGTGTTTCTGCTCTCACATGGATCTTAATCCATCAATACGTTTTTGACTTACAGTAGATTTGCATGCATACAAATGAATTTTTATATGATATGAACTGTTTTTTGTTAATTTTGCTCAGATTTCCATATATTTAGTCATATACAATAATTTTTTTGTAACATTTGTTGCATCATGATTACAGCCAAATGGCAACCGGAGGGTAATCAAACATAAATAAATCACATTATAGAAATAAGCCTTATTTATAATAGGTGTACAACCCTAATCACTTTGCAGATGGTTAATTTTTGGCTATGTTAACTTTTTAGAATATACTGCAAGGATTCTGCTTCGACTTAGTGTCAAAGCAAGCCTTTGACATCATGATCATGATGCTGATCATCTTTAACATGGTGACAATGATGGTGGAGACAGATGAGCAGATAGACTACATGCAGATCATCCTCAACAAGATCAACCTGGTCTTCATTGTCATCTTCACCATGGAATGCGTCCTCAAGATCATCGCCCTTCGGCACTACTTCTTCACTATTGGGTGGAACATATTTGACTTTGTCGTAGTCATTCTCTCCATAGTGGGTAAGTACAGTGAGTTATTTCAGATTCTTCTAGGGATTGGTCTTACCTGGCAATAATGAAGTTGATGTATTTGGCTTTCTGCTTTCCATTATTTTGATCCGACCCGTTTTGATCTCATTGGTGGAATTGCATTTGGAGCTAGCTATAAGAAACACCCTGGTCATGTTCTGTCATCTCATTTAGTTTCAAAAGTCAATGTGTAATTAAAAAAAACTGCTTCTAATGTATACAAATGTCTTTCTTCCAGGTATCGTTCTTGCTGACATTATACAAAAATACTTTGTGTCGCCAACCCTTTTCAGAGTCATCAGACTCGCAAGAATAGGACGCGTCCTCCGACTTATACGTGGAGCCAAAGGGATACGAACTTTACTCTTTGCCTTAATGATGTCGTTGCCGGCATTGTTTAATATTGGGCTCCTGCTTTTTCTCGTCATGTTCATCTATGCCATATTTGGCATGGCCAATTTTGCTTATGTGAAGAAACAGGGAGGAATCGACGACATGTTTAACTTTGAGACTTTTGGGAACAGCATGATCTGCCTCTTTCAGATCACCACCTCGGCTGGATGGGACAGTCTGCTCAATCCCATTCTGAACAATTCTCCAGAAGAGTGCAACCCCAACATTACCAACACTGGCACCAGCACTAAAGGGAATTGTGGCAATCCCTCAGTAGGCATTGCATTCTTTGTTAGCTATATCATCATCTCCTTTCTTATTGTTGTGAACATGTACATAGCCATCATACTGGAGAACTTCAGCGTGGCCACGGAGGAGAGCACAGAGCCTCTGAGTGAGGATGACTTTGAGATGTTCTATGAGGTCTGGGAGAAGTTCGACACAGAGGCCACCCAATTTATTGAATACTCCATGCTCTCCAACTTTGCAGACTCCTTGCGAGAGCCACTGCGAATCCCCAAGCCCAACAAGATCAAACTCATCTCGATGGACTTACCCATGGTCAGTGGGGACAGAATCCACTGTCTCGACATCTTGTTCGCATTCACGAAAAGGGTCTTGGGAGAGTCTGGGGAAATGGACGCCCTGAAGCAGCAGATGGAGGAGAAGTTCATGATGGCCAACCCCTCCAAAATGTCCCATGAGCCCATCACCACCACCCTGCGAAGGAAGCAGGAGGAGGTGTCCGCCATCGTAATTCAGAGGTCATACAGGAGGCACCTAATGCGAAGGCACTTGAAGCAGGCTTCTTTTCTCTACCGCAAGATCAACAGCGATCACCCCACTGATGAGGAAGACGCTCCTGAGAAGGAGGGACTTATAGCCTCCATGATCAAGGAACACTACGGCCAGGACATGGAAATAATGGAGACAATGTCCTCCACCTCTTCACCACCATCTTACGACAGTGTGACGAGGGCTACTGGTGGCCTTTACCAAGTTCTGATACCTGAATCCATCAATAATGAGCAGACTGAAGCCTACCGGCCCACAGAGAGAGACCATTAAATGTAATACTGAGACGTAATTTAAAGACTGTCACATTTTTTACAGGATTTACTAAAACCCAAGCAACACTGACTCAGTCTCAATGTGAAACCTCAGGGTTTCGTACAATAATGTATCTGATTTTTTAAAATGCAGAGGGGAAAATGTAAAAACATAAAAACACTTTACACAGCTTACATTGACTGTGCTGAACAACTATTTGCATGAACGACATGTGCGGGGTTACTACAGTTATATTACTAATGTAATTATTTAATAGGCAAAAAATTACAATTCCTCAATATTTACTAAATATGCCTGGCTGTATATGTTTATTAAAGGTCTTATAATGTGTGATTTCTTATAACAATGTACAAGTTTTACATTATTATATAAATTGAATAATAAAAATGATATAATTCTTGTAGCAAAACATAACTCGTATCTATGTTATCTGTCTTTTACAGAGGGAGGTGTCATAAACTTGGTGATATTACTCGGGGGAAGTTCAGCCGCGATGCTCAGATACAAAAATAAATAAAACAAAACACTGTATTTTAGCACATTAAACTTGGAGGTTCCTGTACTGTGGGTAATTATCGGTCATTTTATAACTGTCTAAACACATGACACAAAGAATGATTAAAACGTTAACGGTCAGGTATATTTCTCCTACAATGGTAATCCTTTACATTCTTCACAGTTAAATTGATCATCTTTGGCTTGCTTTGTGAAAGAATTAGGCCACATTTTGAATATTTGACATTTCAAAGCACCCTTTGGAGATTATTTTAAGAATGATTATATCTAGTTGGAGTTTCAGGAATAATAGGTTAAGAAGCATTGAAGGTTATTTCATAATCCTTTTTTTTAGGGACTGGAAAGCAAAAGAGCAGCAATGATGCTTATTGTCATCTTTCATGTTTGACAGGACTTGTATTACATAGGAAACATTGGAGGCAGTTCAGCAGCAATATCTCCTGCATGTTCCTGCATGCTGCTGGTTTATGACTGCATGCTGGGAGATTCCCCTGGTCTCCACAAACACGGTGCTTGTAGCTTAATCATCATGTGAATTATCATCTTTAGCTAAAATAGCTAATGTTCTATGAAAAGGACAAAGTGTTAAGTATTTTTATAGGGCCTGTGTGTATGTGCCTGTGTATGTTTATACACACGCACACGTTTGTATTGATGTATTTGTGGGGACTGTCCATTCATTTCTATGGGAAACTGTAATCTCAACAATGAACACCTTAACCCCTACCCAGCCCTAACCTTAACCATAAGTAACCAAACAAAATACAAGCCTTTCAGCATTTTTAGTTTTTTGATTACAAATTTTTATAAAACTGAGTTTCCCTTTGTGGGGACCAAAAAATTGCCCCCCACAACATCAAATTAACACATTTTTATCACATGGTTGATATTTGGTCCTTGTATTCCATGTAATATACGCATTTCTCTCTCTCTCTCTCTCTCTCTCTCTCTCACGCACACACACACACACACACACACACACACACACATACTTCAGTACAAGTATGTATTTACAGTATAAAATAAACAAGATCTTGAGTAATTCTAAAAACCATAAATTCATAATATTAATTTGTATATTTCGAGGTTTCGGGTTAAAAATACAGTAACAATTAAATTAAATTATTAAAGCCACATTAAAAATATTTTGCCAGATTAAACTTGCAGGTTTTGTTCATCGTTGTGTTTTTTTAAATTACAGTGTTCGTTTTTATCTTTATACGTGACAAACATATACTAACTGGGATCCGGTTATTTTGTTCAAAAGAACGAAAACAGGCATCAAATAAATGACTTCGGGGGTCGTTTTCCAATCACTTGTGTGACAGTCCCCTATTAAGCTATTTGAGTGAAAAGAAAAGAACAAATATTTTACAGCGACGAACAGGAGCTTGTATGCGGCATCAGAAAAGCCGCAGACAAAACGTTGACACGAATGATACAAACCAGTAATTCTCACGGTGGTAGAAAGCAAGCACTGACAAGCGGGCTGAAAACACAATGATCTGTGAATGGAAGTGCAGTTTCGCTCTATAAAATTTTCGCTATATGTGATCTTTGTATTATTCCTGTTTTCAGGGATGAAACTTAAAACAGGGAGCCCCCCCCCAAAAAAAAAAAAATATAAAGGACAGAGTTAGAGACCCCGCGTTACAAATGCAAGATTATTTAACTAATTAAGAACTAAATAACGGGGAACCCCCTTTAATGCTGAATAAACCGGATTATTATGCGAAATAATTATGATAATTATTCATCGGATACAGTGCAGCTTTATTGTATGCTGATATTACACAGCACAGGGGCAGTGTGCATGTAATGTTCACACATAAGGTTAGCCTATCAACAACATATTTTACCTATGAATAACAAGAAAAGTATGCTGGAAAAAAAGAATTCAAACCCATTCTTATAAATGCCTTGCAGTTTGAGGTGCTGAAATTCAAGGTGAAAATCTCTGCCTAACAACTCAAAATATGTCATTTTTCGACAACGGTTCACGCACCTGACTTCATTCCTGTTCACACGACGACCTGACTATAGGAGAGCGCCCCCTGGCTGCACAAAAAAGACAAAAACGCATTAGCTTCATCAGATTTTCTCATCAAGCTTCGTTAAACACGGACTCTTCGATGCTTTAAATTTAATTTGGTTTCTGCATGAATTAAATGAAAAAAAGTATGTGTTAATGTGACCTAGTGCTTGATCCCGTGGGGGTGGGGGGGGGGGGGGGAAATGGGCATTTATTATTTCCTGGGAATCAAGCTGCTTTGGAGAGGACACAAACACCACCACACGAAAGTGTGTACCCATTCATTTTTTACCGGTTAATTAACTCTGCCTGTCATTCCACATGGCATTCTCTGAAAGCAATTAAATCTGCAGAAAAATCAATACGGTAATTTGCATATAAACATATATATTGAGATATAACTCCATAAATATGATTAGTTTAAGCCTGAATCAAACCAGGTGTTGAAACGTGGGTCAGCCTGAGAGGGGGGGGGGGGTGTTAGGGTTGAGGGGGATGGGACAGCACCCCCCCTCCCTGGTTTGGATCCGATTATGTTTCTGGGAGCTGAAATCTGTTTGGTAACTGAGGCATCGTGTCTCATCAGGTGTGCAGTGGTGGCTTCGACTGCATTGCAATCTGGGCAAGATCAGCAAAGACAGGCCTTTGAAATGTCACCGCTCAACCAAAGGCCTCGAACTAAAGGCCACTGCACAGAAGTCACACTGGTGACTCGTTCCGTCTCCAGGTAACTGTGTCTCTGTAAGGCCAAGGAAGTCCTTGCTGTTCTAGAACTGTCCACAATGACGCTGCACCTTCCGCGATGCTGCTTATCAAAGATCCCTGGCCAATGTTGCCCCTAGCACATTTACGTCTTATTTATTTAGTAGACGCTTTTATACAAAGCAAAGTACGGGTTTTTTTAAAAAGTGGGGTCAGAGAGTCCCTGGACCATTTGGATGTTAAAGGTCTTGCTCATGGGCCCAGTGGTGAAATCACTCTGCTGACCACAGAGTTTGAACCGGCGACCTTCCGATCACAGGTTCAGTGCCCTAATCCCATGGCACAGCAGCTGAGATAAACGCCACAGCACCTTCAGCACTGTGCCTATGACGACCGTCCACTGAGCCTTTGGATTTCAAAGACAGCACTTTGCAGAGACTGGCCTCACCGTTGGTGATGTGGGGGACGCACCACAAGTGGACCAGCTGGCCGGCATGTGACCTGCACCAGTATTTCTTCTCTTCCGAGTGATTGGTGATTAGCCTCACCTTGGGGGACTCGTGTTTTCTGTGTGGTTGCCATGGCAGCGTGGCCCTGATGAGATCCTCTGACAGGCTGGTGGATGAGAGTGCTCTCTCAGTGGGAACAGTGACCACCCCCTCGAGAGCTGAGTCCTCCCGTTAAACTAGAGACTAGAGAAGCTGAGGAACGCAGGCCGCAAAAAACAACAGCTAAAGCAACCAAATGATTGCAATTAGTGTATAA